GAGCTTTCAGATAATGCTTTCAAGGTTATGTTGCTTTGAAAGTAAGACAAAATGTCAGAGTTGTTAGGAAGTATCTTCCATCATGCGCAAACTGCCTCTGCAAGGAACTGAGCTGCCTGAGAGAACCCAAGTCAATAAAGGTCAATAAAGCAACAGGGTTGCTGGATTAGAACAGTGTGAAGGAGGAAGGGGAGTCGGGGCATCCTTGGCAGCTCTCTTGCAGCTGCAGAATCCACATCATCAGACGATCAAGGGAGAGACACTCTTCAAAGAGTAAATGTCCTCTATAGCGTCCCTGTTTCTTTTCACTAATCAAATTCAGTACTTTGGAGCCAAGCTTTATTTTCAAGTTGTGCTCAATTGTCCTGAGTTACAGAAACCAGCCAAAGTCAGTCTAATGACCCATGGCAGAATTTAGGGTCCAGGATCAGAATCCCTTGAGGAATCTGTTATGTGGGTCTCGACTTGTTGATAGTGACATTCTTGTCTAGAAATGTGTATCATTCACATTGGCAAAATTGACTTATAGTGTGTCTCCGTCCCCGATACCATAAGTAGAGACAATATTGTGTGTATAGGACCCCCTGTGTTCTTGTTATGTATACAGGATACACCTCAGGAAAACCATCAAGCAACTTTAAAGAAGAACGCTTTTTACTCACGTGTTCTGGAGAGTACACAGCAAACCTGGGGACCACAAAGTCAAGTGCAAAGAGATGGTGAGAAAAATGCCAAGTTGGGTGTCTGCTATCTTAAGGTCAAAGAGTTGTTTTGAGTTTCCTGAGCTGAAGCCTTGTGGGTGAATTCAAAGCATTAAAAGAAAGATAATTAGGGTATGAGGTCAGAGAAGCAGTTTCTCACAAAAGCTCAATCATCTGAACTTTCTCAGGACTAAATGAAGACTTACCTGGATAGGAGCAGCCTGGTTCCTCATCTAGTTGATTAGTAGCTATGTCAGAGAGCTGGTAATATGCTTATTCAATATTTTAAATGAACATCTTTTTAAGTCTTTTAAGTTAATGTCTTGCTAACCAAGAGTTTAATGTTGCTGACATTATAATAACAAAGAAAATATATACAGAGAACAGAACAGGTACTACAATAGTGACTGTCACTGTCCTCCCCTTGCTCATCGATTTGCTCGAGTGGGCCCAGTAATGTCTCCATTGTGACAATTGTTACCGTGATTGGCATATAGAATACGTCACGGGTAGCTTGCCAGGCTTTGCCGTGCAGGCAAGATACTCTCGGTAGCTTGCCAGGCTCTCCGAGAGGGGCGGATTTTCCCAAACTCAAGCCAGGAGAAAATAAAAAACTAAAATACCTAAAGTAGAAGCATTCTAAGAGCCCATCAACTCCCATTTCTTCATCTTAAATATAGTGTCATTAAACCCAGGGCCAGGTTGCTTGTGGCTCAAAAGTCAATACTCAAGAAACAAGAGTTGCCCTAAGAAAGGCAGATGTATTCAGATGCTGACAACCTGAGAAGATGGTGTTCTTGTGTCGCACACCACCACCACCACCCCCAAGCCAACCTACTCTCAAGTTTAGGAATGATATCCCATTGACTGGGAAAGTGAATTAGAGTAAAATGAAAAATGGATCCAGGGTAAAGAGGGTAGTAGTGGTTTTATAAATCACTATCAAAGGTGGGAATGAGAACTTGTTCCTTGTCAAACTTTGAGATAGCATAGTTAAACAGTATCTGTCTCTGGTACCTGTACTGTAGTCTTCAGGAATCTCTCCAGAGGGTCTGACACTTGTTCTTTTTCAGCTATCTGTGACTGCATCTAGTTTATCATTAAACATACAATGCATGAGAATATTCCTGAGAGTCGGGAGAGAGGGCAAAGTTCAAGAGGGAGTGAGAGGTTTAAATACAAATACGGAGAGACACCGCAATAAATCTTGGAAGGCAGCAGCTCACCAGAGATCTCCCCAGACCCCGGACTGAACCAATTCCACCGGGGCACCTCAGATGGAGCAGGTGTGTCCTCTCTGCCCGCACCAGATGAAACCTCTATGACCACGAGCTTCCAGAAGCAAAATCCAGGTATGTGGGTTTAAGGACTAAGACTCCAGACCACATGGTGGCTGCAGAGATGGGCCAGCCCTTCCTGTCTCCCCACCCGCTTGGGGTCCTGGCTGTCACACCCACAATCTGCCTCTGGGAGCCATCTCAACGCATCAACAGCCTTGATCCAGAGACTCCCAAGTGAATCTCAAAATGAATTAACACCCTACAGAGATATCTCCGGACCCCAACCATTTACAATTACAATTTAGAACACCTCTCATGATATTCATAATCAGCAATAGAAAATAAATTATCTAGCATCTGCCCTTGGCAGGCAAGCTTGAATGATGGTGGAAAAATTCAAAATAATGGTGGTGAGAAGGTGTAATGGTGGTGGAATTGGTGTTGAAATATTGAATGCAATCAATTAATGTGAACAACCTTGTGGAAATTATTTTTTTAAAAAAGTACATAATGGAAAACAAGAATGAAGTCTAATATTTGCTTTCTTACACTGGGATCAGAAGGCCTAGAGAAGGAAAGACATTCAGTCAATACCACCCAGAAACTAAGAGTCAGCAACAATAAGGAAGCCAAGCATCTAAGTTCTTATCAGAGGTCACCACGGACTCTTTGGATACTGATGTGGTTATGAAATTTTTGCTATGGCATTGAATGTAGGAAGGAAAAGTAAGTCCAAAGGGAATGACAGCAATGTCATCGGAGGAGACCCTATAGTCTGTAAATATCCAAATGCTTCCCAGGACCCCCCCCCAAATAAAGTTGAACCTTTCTCTAAATGATCTTAAAAGTAAAATAATAATAATAATCACAGATCACAGATCATCCTGTTATTCGTCGATTGCCTCGAGCAGGCCCCAGTAACGTCTCCTTCATCCTGGCCCTGAGGTTATATTCAAGGCTCTTTAGGAGAATGAGACCCATCATTGTTACTGGTATTTGGCATATTGGGTGCACCACAGGGAGTTTGCCAGACTCTGCCGTGTGGGCAGGCTACATTCGGTAGCCTGCCAGTTTGTCAAAGTAGGAATGAGATGTCATAATAAGATGTCGCGCGGCCGCAAATGTGGCCGCATGGTTCCAGGAGCTGGTTTTTATAGTCTCAGAGTCTTGGCCGCTGATGGGATTACACGGCGCCAGGGGGCCAGTTGGTGGGTGTGACCCCCGCCTACTGGAATTTGGAGGATCTGGGTGGAGGATGCTCGACTCCAATCCGAGTAGGCTTGGAGATCTCGGCCCCGGAACCCACGTGGCTTTGTCCCTCTGCCGGTACCTTCAGGTGTGCGGAGAGTGGTCTCAGCATGGTGGTGGCTGGTCCTGGAGGTCTTCGGCTGCCGGGGCCCTGGCCAGGGCGGGGAGGAAAGCTCAACCCGCTCCCCTCCATGGGGCTCCGGCGAGGAATAGCCAGGCGCGGGGGCAGGAGACTGCGCTCTTCTCCTCCGGGAGCTGGTTTTTATAGTCTCAGAGTCTTGGCCGCTGATGGGATTACACAGCACCAGGGGGCCAGTTGAGACTCTGAGGTGTGTGTAAAGTATAGACATAGGAATAATAGCTAGGTTTTCTAACTGGTTATTCTTGCTGGTTTTACCCAGGGAAGTATGATTAAAATAGCAAAACAAACTCCAAAAAATCCATTTTTCTTTTCACTACAGCTATGAAAGTTCCAAATATGGGACCTGAAGAGATAGTATAGGGCTAAGGCGCTTGACTTTCATGCCACTGATCCCAGTTTGATCCCCACACCACATATGGTCCCCTGAGCACCACCATGAGCAAGAACTAGCCCCTTAGCACCACCAGGTCCCAAAAAAACTTCCCAAAAGTAAAATATTTGCTAAAGAACCAACAGTGCATTAGTATAGGTTCCCCTTCCATATGATTTAGATCATTCCAGGAATGCAATAATGGCTTGACATTTGAAATTTTAATATAATTTTTTTTCTTTTTTTTAATTTTTGGTCCACGCCTGCTGTGCTCAGGGCTTATTCCTGGCTCTTCGCTCAGGAATTACTCCTAGCAGGGCTTTGGTAACCAAATGGTTGCCAGGGATTGAACCCAGGCTTGATGCATGCAAGACAAATTCCTTACCCACTGTACTATGACTCCAGCCCCTAAAAATATATCCTCCTATCAGCAAATTAGAAGAGAAAAATCATTACAGGACTAGATGCTTACTAGGTATTTTTTATAATCCAGCATTAATTTCCAGTATCAGCTCCAAATGGATAAATTGGAAATAACTCACAGAGCCAGAGTGATAATACTGCGGGTAGAACACTTGCCTTGCATGTGACCAACCTGAGTTCAATCCCCAGCATCCCTTATGGTCCTGGGAATACCACCAGGAGTGACTCCTAAATTCAGAAGCAGGAAAAAGGCCAGAACACAGCTGGGTGTGACAAAAAAAAAGAAAAGAAGGAAACAACCCAAGTGTGTAAGGCCTATTTATCCCAAACCCAACAGTAAATGTCATTTTATACAGAAGGACACATGAACTTTAAAATAAAGAGCTAAACAGGGGAAATATGTCATTGTCTTTATTTTTAACATTACTTTAGTGGTTCTACATATCAAGTACAAGAAAATAAAGTAACTTGGGTCAGAGAGATAGTACAGCAGGTAAGATGCTTGCTTTGCACACAGCCAATCTGGGTTCAATCCTTGGCACCACATATGATCCCCCAAGTCCTGCCAGGAATGATCTCTGAACACTGCCAGGGCTTATCCAAATAACAAACAACAAAAAAAAGTAATTCAGGAAGTTACCAAAAAAAAAGAATCAACTTTATTATTTTCAGATAATGTGATTATATATGAAATCAAAACAACCTCATTAAATATGGTTATATTTAACAAGACAATTTGGCAAAATTGTCGAATATAAGACAAGTTAAGACTGATAGTTTCATTATGATGCTATTCATAATTAAAGTTTCTGGTAATAATATTTTTAACTTACTGCTCATTTTTTTAAATCCAGGCACCTCAGACCACAATATGAACAGCACTTCTCTGACATGGGACAGTCAGTATCTTGCAGGCATTTAGGCTTGTTTATTTGGGGACAAATCTTGGGCTTTGGTGGGCAGTGACCTTCTTTGACTATATGGAGAAAAACAGTACATTTGACTTTGAACTACTTGATCATAGTTGAAAACAAATTTGAGGAATCCTGAGAGCCACAGAGTTTTCTACTGAGTAAGTCTCTTTTCCTGCCCCCTAGATCAAAGTTTTCTAAAGTGATATCATCCTTCAGGGAATGCTAGAACCTCGAATGGGAGGATGGTAGCCTCAGGTGCAATTAGGAGGGGACACTTTTTCCTGTTAAATAAAAGAGATTTCCGGTGGGGTGACTAAATTACTTCTATATTAAAAGTGTAGTGATTGGGGGGCTATAGTGATAGCACAGCGGGTTTGCCTGGCACGCGGCCGACCCAAGTTGGATTCCCAGCATCCCATATGGTCCCTCGAGTACCTTCAGGAATAATTCCTGAGTGCAGAACCAGGAGTAACCCCAGAGTATCGCCAGGTATGACCCAAAAAGCCAAAAACAAAACAAAACAAAAAAAGTGCAGTGATTGGCCAAATAAGTTTTGAAACCGAAACCTATAGCCTAGAGAAACAATGGAGTAGAGGAAGCATCATACCAACAGTCAATAATTAATCTGAAAATCATTAAAAAGTTTAACCATCTCTGACTTTAAATTCTGATATCACTCCTGCCCACTCTTATAGAATAAATTTGTTGGGGTTACCTAATCTCAAAGAACAAAAAATAGAAGAGGAAAATAAAAGATTGAAGAAATATTAGAGTGCATTCAAAACCTCCTTCTTTTAGTAATTATAGACTTGAGGATCTCATAGTGAAGAGTGATTTCTTTTTTTTTTTCTTTTTGGTACACACCCAGCTTTGCACAAGGGTTACTCCTGGCTTACGCACTCAGGAATTACTCCTGGTAGTGCTCAGGGGACCCATACGGGATGCTGGGTATCAAACTAGGGTCCACTGCGTGCAAGGCAAACGCCCTCCCCACTGTGCTATCGCTCCAGCCCCAAAGCTTTTATATAAAATAAGTGGATGTTGTCACTTTGTGAGTCTTCAAAGAATGAGACTCAGAATAACTCTTTTTTAAGGGGTAAAATGTGAAGTGAAATCATGCATGGTATCTTTGAAGAATAGCACACTAGTCTTCCAAGACCATAAGGGCTTTATGTAATGGCTGAACATTAAAAGAGGAAAAGGTGTTCAGAAGGTCTTTAGAGCCATCTAAGGGAGCAGAGCAAACTGAACACATGCCAGTAGATTTTGAAAGATATATCCCCAGTCCTTACCTGTCCAAGCCATGACACAAGAAAAACCACATAAGGTTTCACAACACTTTTTTAAGAGAGGGCATTCGATGTCACTCCGACATAAATCTGGACAGATCTCACGTTTCTTGACTGGGAAGATTGGACATTGTCCTTCCTTCACTAAAACAAGAGTAGATATGAGTTCCTCTAGCCCTCAACCCATCCCATCACCCTTCAAAACTTTTCTTCTCTTAAAAACTCATCTAACTTTCTGTGACTTGGCTCATTCTACCCTGCTCATCCCTGCTGGGGGTTAAAATATCGCACTATATCATGGGATATAATAGAGGAAAAAATAATCTTGGAATTTGAAGGACCAAGATAAAGTCTGATTCCTGCTACTTAGTGGGTGACTTTAGTTTCCTTCTCTATAAATCAGGAGTAATTAGGTGAGATCTATATAAATTTCGGTAGACCATTTTAGGTGTTTGGGTTTTACTCCGAATGAGGAGTCGCACAGTCTGATTCACATTTTGAAAGGATTGTGGTGTCTACCATGTTATTAATGAGCAGGAAGATGAATAGAAGCAAGGCGACTTGTTAGGGAACTGTTGCAGTAATCCTGAATCCTGGTGAGAAGACAACCCCTCACTTCAGGATGGCAGATGTAAAGGTACTAAGGCACCAAATTCAATACCAAATTAAAACAAAGTCCTATCTTAATGGATGTTAATCAATGGAGTCAGTAAAGAGTTCTTGGAAATTTTTTTCAACCAAGGTAGAAATTACTGAGAATAAGAGCAGGATTGAGATGGGGAAACAAAGATTAAGATGTTAATTGTGAGGTGTTTGTGAGGTCAGAATGAATCTATGGAGTAGGCAATTAATTTGGGAAGCCAATTAAGGTTGAAATTATAATATTGTCAGTCACTAGGACATCGATGGTATTTGGTGGGGTGGTAGACTCCACTCTGGGACCACACTCAGTGGTGCTCAGGGATACTCCAGGCTCTGCACCCGGGAATCACTCCTGGCAGACTCCAGGGACCATTTGGGGTGTAATGAATTGAATCCGGGTCGGTGTCTCGTGTGCAAGGTAAGTGATCTACCTGCTGTACTAACTCTCCAGCCCCACACATTGATGGTATTTAAATCAATTCTTCAAGAATTTATGAATCTCCTGTGTCCTCATCTGATTATAAATTCTATGGGGCAAGAAGTATGTGTGTGTATTTAGGGAGTATGAGGGTTCCCCTTTTTTTTATTCTTCAAGTCAAGAACAGAATATGATGTATTTGAGTCTCAGTTAACATCAGGTTCTTTCTGAGACCCAGATCAAAATTTCAAGCACATTTCCCTGGCCTCTTCCCTTGCTGCTTCTGAGAGAATACTAAGTTTCTATTCACAGCATCATGATTCCTTACAATCTCCCACAAGGAGAAGGTTTATATCCTAGTTTTATCGGGTCAGGCCCCAGGATTGCCTGGGCCATTTAGGCTCACTAAGCCCATGGTTTTACCTCAAAGTCTGAGCCCTGTAACTGTGCTATTATGCTATTGCTAGAGTTAGTCTAGGACCTCAGACCATCATGTAAATAGGTCTTACAAACAAGTGAGCAAAAAGCTTCACAGTCTTCTTTGCTGAAAAAGTTGTTATTATTCCCGAAGCTGCCTCCATATACAAATTCTTTGCATAATTTATTATTACTGTCAAAATACCAGCGCAATTCATTCTTTGTACCATTTCCGGTGTCTAAAGATTGTAGGCAGGGTTCTGAGGGAAGAAAACACAAAGAAAAAAGAACATGAAGGAAACAAAATCAGGGCAAAGGCTAGGTTCTTTTTATATAATTTATGGTGCTGTCTATATCCAAATCATAAATGAGCCATAGTCAGTCAAAGTTCTAGGACAGGCCCTGTTAGCAATACTGAGCTGTATAACATTAATAAGCATCATTTCCAACTTTCAGTGGATATAGAGAAGAACAAACAAGGATCTCTTTTTACTGCAATTAAAACACTTAACAAAGTGTACAATACACAGTAGAAATGATATCTGCACTTGTATGTTTATTGCAACACCGTTCATAACAGCCAGAATCTGGAAAAACCCCAAGTGCCCCAGAACAGATGACTGGTTAAAGAAACTCTTGTAAGTCTACACAATGGAATATAATGCAGCTGTTAGAAAAGATGAAATCATGAAATTCACATATAAGTGGATGGACATGGAGAGTATCGTACTAAGTGAAATTAGTCAGAAAGAGAGGAACAGATATAGAAGGACTACACTCATTTGTGGAATATAAAGTAGTACAATATGAGATTAACATCTAAAGACAGTAGAGATAAGAGCCAGGAGGATCACCATGGTTTGGAAGCTGGCCCCACATGCTGGGGGGAAAGTCAGTTGGGATGGAGAAGAACCATTAAGTAAATGATGATTTTTACCCGGCATGGGTGATGTGTGCTGAATGTAGACCAAGAACCAAACATAATGGCTTCTTAGTATCTGTATTGCAAATCATAATGCCCAAAATTAGAGAGAGAGTAAAAAGGATTGTACCTGCCACAAAGGCAGAGTGTGGGCTGGGGTGGGAGTGGTGGGTGGGACACTGGGAACAACGGTAGTGGAAAATATGAACTGGTGGTGGGGTGGGTGCTCGAGCATTGTATAATTGAAACATAATCATACAAGGTTGTAACTGTATCTCACGGTGATCCAATAAAACCTATTTTTTTAAAAGTGAACAATACATAAGAGATGAAATACCAAGAAATGGGGTAAAGGCAGCCCCCACCCCTTGTCTGAAAACTGATCTAACACTCAGAGCTAAGCCACTATTTCCTTATGGGTCATAAATAATCAGAATACCTTCATCAAACAAAGTCACTCTCAGAGGGATAGAGCAGTAGCATAATGGGTGAGGCACTTACTCATGGCAAACCTGAGTTTGGTCACCAGCATCCCATATGATCCCCTGAGCATCCCCCAAGCACCACCTGAGTGATCCCTAACTAAGTACAGAGTGAGGAGTACATCCTAACACATCTGAGTGTAACCCAAAAACAAAACAAAAGCAAAAATAAAATCACTCTCAGATCAAGCTAAAAAAACCACTGTGAATTCCACTGCCTAACAAACACCTTGGAGTAATTTGTGTTTCTCTACTAATCACAGCTTTATTCCCCTTCAAGCCTGACCTTTCAAAATAAGATTTACAGAGATATTATTCAGCCATTGAATTCCTCCCCTTTCTGATCATACCGAATCAAGAGCAAAACTTCACTTCCTTAGACTGTCCCCCAGCTCTCTCAAAATCTTGATCTTATACTCTTTCTCACTACTCCTGGCTGTCTTAATTGTCTTGGGAGAGTAACATTCTCCTCACGCCAGTGTGGAATAGACCCAACTCTTTCAACTACAAGTTTGTTTTCAATGGTCTTCAGCCAAAGGATATTGACAGCAAATTTAATTCATCTATAAAAACATAGAATTTTCTATATGTATTAAATGATCAGCGGTAGGTCATTTGCCTTGCGTGCAGCTGGCCTGGCAAGACAAACACCCTACCTGCTGTGCTATTGCTCCAGCCCACACCCTATTAGTAGATGCAGAGAAAGCATCTGACAAGATCCAGAACCTACCCATGATTTAAAAAAAAACTCAACAAAATAGGAGTTGAAAGAACTTTCCTCAGTATAGTCAAAGTCATCTACCACAAGCCTACAGCAAGCATTATCCTCAATGGGGAAAAACTAAAGCCTTCCCTCTAAGATCAGGCAAAGACAAGGTTGCCCACTCTTGCCACTTCTATTTAATATAGTACTGGCAGTACGTTCCATAGCAGTTAGGGAAGAAAAATATATCAAGTGTATCCAGATAGGAAAAGATGAAGTCAAGCTCTCATTATTTGCAAATAACATGCTGTTATACTTAGAGAATCCTAAAGATTCTACAAAAAGCTCCTAGGACCAATAGATTTGTATAGTAAAGTGGCAGGTTACAAAATCAATACCCTAAAGCATGGCTTTCCTATATGCAAATAATGAAAGAGAAGAAAGTGATATTAAAAGAAAACTCTGTTTACAATTGAACCTCAGAAATCAGAGTCAAGTACTTCAGAATCAGCTTAAATAAAGAGTTAAAGGACCTGTACAAAGAAAACTACAAAATACTATTCCAAGAAATGAAAGATAGCATGAGGAAATGGAGAACATCCCTTGCTTATGGATTGGGAGGATTAAATTGTCAAAATGACAATACTCCCCAAAGCATTATACAGATTCAATGCAGTCACTATCAGGATATTCATACATTTTTCAAATAAGTAGATCAAACACTCCTGGCATTCATATGGAACTATAAACCTCCATGAATAGCTAAAACAATCCTTGGGAAAAAGAAAATGAGAGGCATCACCTTACCCAACTTCAAACTGTTCACAAAGTGGTAGTAATTAAAACAGCATAGTACTGGAATAAAGATAGACCTGTAGAACAATGGGATAAAGTTGAATATCCTGACACAGACCTTCAAATATATGATCAGTTAATCTTTGATAAAGGAGCAATAAATATGAAGTGGAGCAAGGAAAGTCTCTTCAACAAGTGATGCTGGGGAAACTGGACAGCTACATGCAAAAAATAAATAAGTAAACTCAGACTTCTCTCTAGGCCAGACACAAAAGTCAGATCAAAATGGATTAAAGACCTCAATATCAGACCTAAATCTGTAAGGTATATGGGGGAAAACATAGGCAGAAACCTCCATGAAAATGAAGTCAAGACATCTTCAAAGATGACATACCACTGACCAAGCAAGTGGAAGCAAAGTAGTCCCCATTGTTTAAATGGGAACCACATTAAACTAGGAAGCTTCTGAACTAAGAAACAGTGACCAAGGTACAAAGACAACCCAAGGAATGGGAAAAAAATTTTACCCAGTACCTGTCTGATAAGGGGTTAATATCCAAAATATATAAGGCAGTGGTAAAACTTTACAAGAAAAAATCCAATCCCATTAAAAAAAATCCAATCTCATAAAAAAAGAGAAGAAATGAACAGAAACTTCTTCAAAGAAGAAATGCAAAGTGCCAAAAGGCACATCAAAAAATGCTCTACATCGCTAATCGTCAGAGAGATGCAAATCAAAACAACAATGAGATATTATCTCACACCATAGAGACTGGAACACATCAGAAAGAACAAAAACAACCAGGGCTGGCATGGATGCAGAGAGAAAGGACTCTTTTGGTATTCATTGGTGATAGGAATACCAACTGGTCCAGACATTTTGGAAAACAATATAGTCATTCCTCAAAAAACCAAAAACTGAGATTCTATATGACCCAGCAATACCACATCTGGGAGTATACCTTGGGGATCCAAAAACGCACAGCAGAAACACCCTCTACACTTCTGTGTTCATTGCAGCACTATTCACAGTGCCCAGAATCTGGAAACAACCTGAGGGCCTGAGAACAGATGACTAAACAAAGAAACTATGGTACATCTACACAATGGAATACTTCACAGCCAGTAGGAGAAATGAAGTCATGAAATTTGCCTATAAATGGATGGACCTGGAGAGTATCGTGCTGTAAAAATGAGTCAAAAAAAGAGACAGACAGAATGATTGTGCTCATCTGCAGGATATTAAAAAAAAAGCATAATATGAGACTATAGCCATGAACAATAAAAGCAAGGGTCAGGAGAACTGGTCCACGGATAGAAGCTTGCCACAAGAGGAAGGGCAGGGGGAGAGCAGTTAGGATAGAGAAGGAACCAGTATAACAGTGATATTTGGAAATAATCACTCTGGAAAAGAACTGGGTAATGGAAGGAGGTCAAGGGATATGCATGGTAACTTCTCAGTACCTATATTGCAAACCATAGTGCCCAGAAGGAAAGAGAGAAAGAGGGAGGAGAAAGAAGAAAAGTGCCTGCCTAGAGGCATCTTGGGGCAGTGAAGTGAGGGGGTGGGGGAAAGGTGTTGGGGAAGATGGAAGGAGGGAAACTAGGGACATTGGTGATGAGAAGTGTACACTGGTGAGGACTGGGCAGTAAACATTGTATGAAACTGTGATTGCACTAAAAAAATTTTTTTAGCAATCCTAATATCTAAATGAATGAAATTTTGTGTTTGCCATAGTGCTAACTGTGGGCAATAATCTCTTAATATATGGTGGGAATGAAACAAATATTAGTCATTTGTGGGCTGGAGCGATAACACAGTGAGTAGGGCGTTTTCCTTGCACACAGCCGGCCCGGCCAAGCCGGGTTCGATTACTCTACCCCTCTCGGAGAGCCCGGCAAGCTACCGAGAGTATCTCGCCTGCACAGAAAAGTCTGGTGAGCTCCCCATGACATATTCACTATGCCAAACACAGTAACAACAAGTCTCAAAATGGAGACGTTACTGGGCCTGCTCGAGCAAATCGATGAACAACGGGAGGACAGTGCTACAGTGCTACAGTGAATGAATGTTGAAACAAAAATTAGTTTCATTATAGCCCAGTAGTGATCTATGTTGACTAGAATTCAGTGTTAGTATCGGAGGGTTGAAAACCTAATTAAAGGAGAAAAGCAGAGCCCCGATCTCTTGTCTTGTCATCCAGAAAATCTTTCAGTCAGTTATGGACACATAGCAAGAAGTAGGGCACATCCAAAGACACCTCTGCCCTCAAAACCGAATTCCAGTACCTTGGCCTGGATCTAAGCATTTCATCCCACAGTAGAAATAGCAGCACTTCTGGTGGTCAGGGCAATCAAAATCATTATAGCACAAGTTTTGAACTTTGTGTTTACAGTATTCCCTGTCCATGGGGCACACTCCTGGTTTCTCTGCAAGAAAGAAATGCCCAATTTATATCCCTTGAAAATTCTGGTTTATACACTGGCAAACGTAAGCTGTATTAACTGTCTTAGCCTTAATTGCTTCCTTCAACCCTCATTTCTTGTTCTGTCTTTATTTAGGTGCAAGGCCACTTCGGATAGATCTTTATCCGGAATTTGTGCAAATGTAAAACAAATCTGCACAAATCTTGGCTTCCAGGACAGAATATTTGATAGGGACCAAGACATTTGCTATTAAGTTCAGGATATCCTCTATTCTCTTGAAACTCAGTATTTAAATATCTAGGTTCTCTATCTCCTGTATCTTAGCTGCAGGGGAAATTTTTAATTGAGGCATGGTGGAAATACCATGAAAATAGAAGTCAGGGGTAGGTAAAATAAATAAATAAATTAGAAGCACCACTATAAGACAGACCTAGTTTGGAAGCATCACTCCAGTGCAACTACCTACTAATTTTAGGGGGAAGCTTTTTCCTTCTTTGCATGTGCAGTGTATAAATGAGACCACCCTCTAAGGAAAAGCAATTCCAGCTGAACTCACCTCTGAGTTTTCTGGATAGCTTTGCAGGTGTCTTCTCCAAAAATAGCAAGAAATACAGCAGGAAAGCTATGGTTTTCCAGGAGATTCTGGCCCTACGGAGAGGTAAGTGTCTGCTAGACAGCAGAAGAGGGCCAAGGATTACTCCCAGCCAGAGAGACACAAAGGATCTGCAGAGAAACCTTGGAGACAAGTCCCCAACACCCTTAACCAGATGTGGAAATAGTGGAAGGGGTTTGTCTGCAGTCACAAGAAAAGTGGGGTCGACCTTTAGTCCCTGAGCCTTCACTGTGTCCCCACACACAGCCATCATGCAGTAAGTTGGCTTCCCCACAAGTTCACCCGCTCACCCACTGTCTTGTTCTTGGGTGAACGGCCACACATGACAGACCACAAGGACATTTGTCCAGACTCGTTGGAGGGCTGGTTTGCCCACATTCTTTCCCATGGCAACCCCAATTGAGCTCAAGTGAGACTCTTTCTTTATTTCCCCGATGACAAGAAACTGATGATAATATTTTCAGGTGGGCCTGGCTCAAGAATAAAAATATCTTACTGAGCCCAAGAACAAAAAACAAATCCAGCTGACCTCAGGTTGACAACAGCATACATCTTAATCTTTCTGGTGGTGTCCAAGTCTAGGGGTTGACCCTACTCCCAATTACATGTGTCTACTGGCCATCAGCCTGTCTTCCTCTGGAAAGCGTGTGTTCATTTCCTCTCTCCATTTATGGAAAGGGTCTCTGGATTTGTTTTGTGTTGTTGTCGCTCTTTGTGAGTACTTTTTATATCCTGGATATCAACCCTTTATCTGATGTGCTGTAGCACTGCACTGTCCTCCCGTTGTACATCTATTTGCTAGAGCAGGCCCAGTAAGGTCTCCATTGTGAGACTTGTTATTGTGTTTGGCGTATCGAATATATCACGGGTAGCTTGCCAGGCTTTGCCATGTGGGTGAGATACTCTTGGTAGCTTGCTGGGCTCTCCTAGAGGGGCGGAGGAATCGAACCTGGGCCGACTTGGTCAGCCGCGTGCAAGGCAAACGCCCTACCCACAGTGCTATCCCTCATGCAAATATTTTTAACCTATTCAGCCAGCTGTCTTTTTCAGTTTTAGCCTGTGTCTCTTTCACCATGTAGAAACTATTTAATTTGATGTAGTCCCATTTGTTTATTTTTTATTCTGTTGCCTTTCCTAGTGGTATCAGAACATTGAAGACATCTTTAAGCTCCAAATTTTAGAGTGTTCTATCTTTTCCTCACTGTACTTATAGTTTCTAGTCAGACCTGAAAATTTTTCATCCACTTTGAATTTCTTTTTTTTTTTTTTTTTTTTTTTTTTGCTTTTTGGGTCACACCCAGCGATGCTCAGGGGTTACTCCTGCCTCATGCGCTCAGCAATTGCTTCTGGCAGTGCTCGGGGGACCATATGGGATGCTGGGAATAGAACCTGTGTCGGCCATGTTGGCTGCGTGCAAGGCAAATGCCCTACCCACTGGGCTATCGCTCCAGCCCCCCACTTTGAATTTTTGTATGTGTGTAAAAAGACCTTTCTTGGCAGTAAACTGAGAAGCATAATGCAATCAAATGGTCTACAGATTGCCAGGAACTGGGGGAACAGTATACATTTTCAGGTTAGAACCTTTGCAAACTACGGGTAGTTTCATGTGGCCAACCCAGGTTCAGCTGCCCGTTCTCCGCATGGTCCCTCAAGTATCACAAGGAGTGATCTCTAAACACAGAACCAGGTGTAACTTCTAAGAGCTGTGTGCCAAGCTTCCTTACCAAGCGTGCCACTCCCACTGGTCTCTCTTCCCCTTCCCACCCAGGACAACTTAAAATCCCGCTTAACTTCTCCCAGGGGTTCGGCTCTACCCCCAGCCTCACCAGAGGCTTGTAGGGCCCAGGAGTACACCCCAATAAGCTCCTATTTCTTAACTTTACCAGTCTCTGTCCCTCTGTCTGAGCTGGGTGAGGTCCCAGATCTGTCACTGGGGGAGACAGGCATCTGGAGGGAGAAAGGAGACATAAATGTTGATTTTCAGTAGCCAGGCGCTGGCAAGAATTGGCTAGGGCCACTGGCTAGAGTCATGGGTGGGTTTCTGGAGGATGAATGTTCCCTGACATAAGAAGGTGGAGCCAGGCTGGAGCTATAGTACAGCGGGGAGGACTTTTGCCTTGCACAAGGGCAACCCAAGTTCAATCCCCGGCATCCCATATGGTCCCCCGAGCACTGCCAGGAGTAATTCCCGAGTGCAGAGCCAGGAGTAACCCCTGTGCATTGCTGGGTGTGACCCAAAAAGAAAAAAAAGAAGAAAGAAAGTGGAGCCCCTTGGTTGGAGCGATAAACTATGCAAGCAGTGGACCATGGCCCACCCCAGGTCGAGCCTCAGCATCCCATATGGCCCCCAAGCCTGCCAGGACTAAGCTCTGAGTACTGCCGGGTGTGGCCCAAAAACAAACTAAAAAAGAAAAAAAGTGGTGCCCCCAGGGCAGCAAACACAGGGAAAACCCCACTCTTTTGCAGATCTTCTACAGCAGGCAAAGGCTGGGTGCTCCTTGAAAAGTTTTCTAAATTCTGGGCCTCTCTTGTGGCACCAAACTGGGGAAGTGAGAGAAGGAGATAGCCACCGTGAAAAGAAAAAATGTCACCAGGAAACTTCCCTTTCTTTTTAACCGAGTGAAGGCTTTCATCTTGCATGAAAAGAGCAAACCAACCACTTCTTGCCTTTTAAACACACAGGAAATCTCATTGTAGAGGACTTGCTTCAAACCGTCCCTGGAGGAAGGGTGGGAGGACAGGAGCACATAGAAATCCATCCCAAGACCCTACACCAGTGAAGCAGCAAGGCAGAGAGGTGTCCTGGCAAAGAGCTGCTCTGAAGCAGGACAGAAATTTCCCTGTCACGAAAAGCATAACCTCTTTGGAGTTATGGAAACTGAGGCACCTCCCTGGGACAGGTGGACCCCCGCCAAAAGAAGATGCTCTGAAAATGTAAGGGACAGGCCCAAAAATGGACTACCACCAGAATTAATTTAGCTTAGCTTAATAGGAACCTGCATTGCAAAATAACTTGTTTTTCAAGGAACAGGTCTAGATAACCTTTTTCAGATCCGCTTTATAGGAGCCTGCACTGCAAAATAACTGGTTTTTCTGCCCCTGAGCAAGGAATTCAGATACAGGTACTCGAAGGGTGGGGGGGTCAGACCAGATAACCGGATATCTCTCATAAGACCCATGTTGCAAGACCCAGGACTGCCTTAAAAACCTGTCAGTTCCTAAGCACCAACGCAAAATGCTGATCTTTAAACTATAGGCTAAGAAGTGATGTACCCTTAATTGGATTGGTTAAGAAAGCATATGTTGTTACAAATCTATTGGCTATGAAATGCGCGGGCTTTGCTGTAACGGCCAGTGAAGGTCTATATAAGATCCCCTTTGAAGAAGTTCGGGGTCTTGCCTCACCTAACTGACCTGCGTGTCTGTGTAGGCGGCTTGACCCTGGCTAGCCAGTCTTACAATAAACCTTGCTTGCTGTTTGCAGTCTCTGGAGTTTCTTTGTCGTTAAAGGGAGATCACGATCCACGCCTTAACAAAAAGACCGTTAAAATTCAAAGCTCTTGCCCTCTTGACCTCAATCTAAGCCAGCAACAGCTCTTATCTGCATAGAACGCCCCTGGAGGGGAGAGTTTAGGCAAAACCCTGTAACGTCCAACTTTGTCCAGGTTAGAAGGGATCTCAGCCTGTGAAGCGTTAATTCCTTTTTCTTTTTCTTTTTCTTTTTCTTTTTCTTTTTCTTTTTTGGTGTTCTCTTGGAGAAGCCCACGTTCTTTTGAACGTGTAACACTGTCTCTCTTCTGTCTCTCTCTCTCTGGCTCTGTATCTCTCTTCTGTGTTTGTCTGTCTCTGGATCTGGCTCTGTGTCTCTGTCTGTCTGTCTCTCTCTCTCTGTCTCTCTCTCTGTCTCTCTTTCTTTCTCTCTCTCTCTCTCTCTCTCTCCTCTTCCTCTAAATAAAACTATTTTATTCTCTTCCTGAAATTATTTTTTATGAGGATAAGCAACACTCTCCATACGTCCGGACGGGCCTCATGCATGAAAGAACTGGCAGAGGAACCCAGGAATGCGGGTCCCAGGGCTGAGGTCTCCAAGCCTACTCAGATTGGGACTGGGCCTTCTCCAACCAGACCCCCCATCTTCCAGTAGGTAGGTGTTACACACACCAGCTGCCTCCAGGGCCAGGTTGGTCCCATCAACGGCCAAGATGTAGAGACTATAAAACCCAGCTCCAGGAAGTGCGCGGCCGCATTTGCGGCCGTGCGACATCTTATTATCTTATTTTTCCTTTGGAGAACCTGACAGGCTACTAAAAGTATCCTGCCAGCACAGCAGAGTTTGGCAAACTTCCCGTGTCCTACTCAATATGCTAAATACCACTAACAATGATGGGTCTCATTCTCCTAATCCTGAAAGAGCATTGAAATGGCTCTTTTAAAATCTCAGGCCTAGGAAGAAGGAGACGTTACTGGTGCCTGCTCAAGGCAATCGACAATGAACAACAGGATGATCGTGATCGTGATCATGAGGATAAACAATGGATCTGGAAAGCTGAATGGCAATTGGGGCTGAGTTTCTCCTTCCTGCAAAGCTCCCCCAAGAACTCAAGTGGTGGGAACAGCCCCCCCCCCACTGTGTAGAACAAATGGACCTCAAATGCAGCTTGGCCACTGCCCAGTGGAGCTAGTGTGATGCTAGTGCCCCTGCCGCATAGGAGACAGTGGCAGACTTTTATCAGCCTGAACCTCTGCAGTCACTGCTCCAGGGTTACTGAGGTGGGCTGAGCAGGAGGGCCAGAGTACTTCCCCCTCTCCAGGACACAATGCAGTAAGTATTTTTATTTAAGCAAAGTTACTTAAGAGATTATGATGTCGGTGGGCCCCAAGGGTGGCTTGTGTGAAGTGGGGAGGAGAAAGACGGTCACTTTCTCCCCATTCGCCTCTGCCACCCAGGGTTACTGGGTTCTTGTCTCGCCTCACAGAAAAGAATTTCAGGAGTAGACGAGCAGTGAAGTAAAACAGATTTGCACACTAATGGCCTCAGAGCAGGAAAGGCAAACCTGCTTCCAGGGATTAAACTCTGCTTCTGAGGCTTCCTCTTTCCGACCTGCGGCTCATTTTAGCTGCCTTCCTCCAAATTCCTGGACTTTTTCTGAGACTTGGGAAGTTCACAATATCCCCAAGGTCATATATTTTGCCCCAGACCTTTGGCTTAGAGGAAACTAAGAGATTATTGGACAATACCTGGGCACATGGTAAGACATATAACTGAAAAGGTCTTAAATAAGACAGTACCCACCAGCTAAGTGGGAAAGCAGGATGTTAACCATAACAGCACAAATGAGCACAGAATTAGCAAAACATCTTTGGGAAACAAATGAAAATCGTCCAAGACTTTCAAGATTGATAAGAAACACAAAGACCCAGTTTTCCTAAAAACTCACTAAACAGATGATACTTGACTTAGTTTTATGTTAAATTTCTTCTTTGCTGGGGAATTTTTTCTCTTCCACATTCCAACAAAAGTTTCTATTTCCTAACTGAGTCTAAGTAACCTTTATTACTTAAGATTTTCATCCTTTAACCTTTCAGTGGGCTGGGGCGATAACACAGTGGTAGGGTGTTTGCCTTGCACGCAGCCAACATGGCCGACCCGAGTTCAATTCCTCCACCCCTCTCAGAGAGCCCGGCAAGCTACCGAGAGTATCTCTCCCGCACGGCAAAGCCTGTCAAGCTCCCTGTGACGTATTCGATATGCAAAACACAGTAACAAGAAGTCTCATGATGGAGATGTTACTGGGCCCGCTCGAGCAAATCGATGAACAACGGGAGGACCGTGACCGTGAACGTTTCAGTAGCAATACTGCAAACCACAGTGCACAAAAGGAGGATAGAGAAAGAGAGAGGGAGAGTGTGGGGAGAGGAGAGGAGAGAGAAGAGAGAGAAGAGAAGCGCCTGTAATAGAGGCAGGAAGGGGGGAAGGGAGAGGTGATGGGAAGGAACTTGGGGACACTGGTGCAGGGAAATGTACACTGGTGGAGGGATGGGTGTTGGAGTACTGTATGACTGAGGTCCGATCATGAACAGCTTTGTAAGAATCTATCTCACAGAGGTTCAATTAAAAAGTTAAAAAAAAATCATCCCTAAAAATATTGAGGAACATGGCAACTGTGGACAAACACAGAGACCCACTCCTGTGTTAAAACTGAGGTTTTCCTCGTTTACTCTTAAACTTCCTCAGTCTCCGAAAATAGCCCAGGAATTTGGAGGAATGTTATGTACTGGTTTAAGTTATTAGTTATGATCTGCTGTTAAACTTGATAGGTCGTGATGGAGGCAGGAAAGAAGAATCCCGTCCATAATTTTTTTTTCTCCACTTAACAATGCTTAAGACCTCATAAAAGATTGCGTGGGAGGCCTCTGCTCAGAACTTTGACTCAGGTTGGAGCTAATTCAGTTGCTCTGCAGGAAAGGAGAAGCCAATCCCGGGACTTAACGCCGGGTCTCGGGGTTCTTGTCTCGCCTCTCGGAAAAGAATTTCAGGAGTAGACAAGCAATGAAGCAAAACAGATTTTATTTGGAGGTTTTGATGGGGAGGTGGGAGAGAATGTAGGAGAGGGTAGAGTAGCACACTCAAGAGATAGCACGGGCTTCCCCAAAGATGGAGAAGCCTTGAACGGCCAGGGATGCTGCACCAGAAAGTGTACTTGGTGAACTCCCATCCCCCACCTTGAGGTGCCATCCCCTGCCCGCTGCTACAGCTTCCAGAGTTGACAAACCCCAGACTCTTAGTGCAAAAGGTCAGTGTGGTCTTTGCATTCCTGGAGCTGAAGGAGCAGGCCCGAAGAGGTAGTGCTGCTTAGACCCTCTTACAAACCCATCCTTCTCCCACCAGTTTCCCTCCTTTCTCAGTCTGGATTACATGATGTATAGAGCATAAAAGTGGTAGAGTTTGGGGCTGGAGCGATAGCACAGTGGGTAGGGCGTTTGCCTTGCATGTGGCCTACCCAGGTTCGAATCCCAGCATCCCATATGGTCCGCTGAGCACCGCCAGGAGTAATTCCTGAGTCCAGAGCCAGGAGTAAGCCCTGAGCATCGCCGGGTGTGACCCAAAAAAGCAAAAAAAAAAAAAAAAAGTGGTAGAATTAGTGGAAGGAAAGTTTGTGGGGAAACTAAGTGAAAGTCTAGACTTTCCCTGGGCCATATATTTCTCCTCTGCTCGTTCTCCTGTGTTATATGCACTTGTTTTTCTTTGATCTTGTCCATGCAAATATACTCCTTCAACCACCCTTCCAACACCAGTGCCCCTGTCACTAACATTACATCTATGTCTTGCTTTAGGTTCTTCAGGTCTTTATTCCAGTTTGGGGGGGCATCCTGCATAGACTCTAGTGACTTGGAATGTCTGACCTGTACCACTGTAGCACTGTCCTCCCGTTGTTCATCAATTTGCTCGGGCAGACACCAGCAACATCTCACAACAAATTGTGAGACTTGTTGTTACTGTTTTTGGCATATCAAATATGTCACGGGGAGCTTGCCAGGCTTTGCAGAGCGGGCGAGATACTCTCAGTAGCTTGCCGGGCTTTCTGAGAGGGGTGGAGGAATCGAACCCAGGTCAGCCGCATGCAAGGCAAATGCCTTACCCGCTGTGCTATCACTCCAGCCCTACACAGGATAATTTGTTTCAGCTCCTAATCTGTGGTTATTTATTAAGACAGCAATAAAGGGGCTGGAGTGATAGCACAGCAGGTAGAGCCTTTGCCTTGCAGGCGGTCAACCCAGGTTCGATTCCCAGCATTCCATATGGTCCCCTGAGCACCTCCAGGAGTAATTCCTGAGTGCATGAGCCAGGAGTAACCCCTGTGCATCGCCAGGTGTGACCCAAAAAAAAGCAAAAAAAAAAAAAGGTATAAAGACAGCAATAAAAAGATTACATTCATATTCAAGCCCCCCATTATCTGGAGCCCTCTTTTCTATCTTGGTGGAAAATCTCTCTGCATTCTTCTCTTTCTATCCTAGTCCACTCTCCATTTCCTCTTCCACCTGATGTTTGAATCATGACCATGAAGGGATGGTGGCCATGAAGGAATCACCTTCTGTGAGATGCTTTGTGAATCAAAGTAACTGCGTTTTTGTGTTCGTCCCACAGGATTTTTACGCATCTCATCTTTTGCTGTAGTTATAGACCTGTCCAACTCAGACATAGGTCTAACTAAAAAGGCAGAATTAGGTACCTGTGGTGTAATGAGAACAACTCTTGGGACCGTGGGGGATTACAATGGAGACAGGGAGGCACAGGTATGAATTCCACCCCACCCAAAAAAATACCAAGTCCTGATATGAATGGAATCAGTTTATTTGGAAAATACTTGAGCTTTCTCAGGCTATAGAGATCAAAGTGATGACCGAGAGGTCCCAGTAAAGTAAGAGAATCTCCCAGCAGGAAACCAGAGAGAAAGACCCCACAGCATCCTCCAGTCAGTGTTTCATGAAGGTCATTTCTTGTCATCTAGCAATGATGTAAAGGGTTCTCTGGAAGAAAGAAGTTAAATGGTTAGAAGTCAAGCTCTCTGGGGGAGTTTGGGGAGGCACACTCATCCCAAAACTTGGGTAACTATGGACTTCTGTTCCAGGTCCTGGCTTCTGAATGAGTATGAGCAACATGTCCAAACCCCACCTTCCCACCTCAACCAACTCACCCATTGTCCATACAGATTTCTCCACAGTAGGTCCAGCAGCATGTGTGATTTACAAGTAAACATTCCCGGGTCTTGGTGCACTTTTTTCTACAATACTTTGGTGTAGGCTGCACCCAGCACTGCTCAATATCTACCATATCTGCTAGAAATGAGATGGTAGACATTATCAGAGTTCATCCGTCCATCACACAAAGAAGAAAGCTTTCTCAAACTTCAAAATCCCTAACTAAAAACCATAACGTCTTCATCTTCCAAGAAAATGTCTCCCTACAAATCAAAGCCATCGTCTTTTCACAGAAGACCATCTCTGTGCGACGTATCCCTGCAGTACTTCAGGCCTTGGGGTCCTCTTCAATCTCCTTAAATATAAGAACTAGGATTCCCCACCGTGTATCATTTAATTTCATTGAATCTATACTTCTGTAAATTTAAACCCCAGGACCCTGGGCTGGGGAGATGACTCTAGGGTCTGAAGCATGTGCTTTTCATGCAGGAGGCTTCTCAGTTTGATAAAAAGCATCTCAAGATTCCCTGAGCGCATCAGCAAATAATTCCCAAACAGCACACCCAGTAAAGCTTCTGAGCATGGTCAGATGTGGCCAAGAGTAACATGGAAATAGAAATTGTGTGTGTGTGTGTGTGTGTGAGTGAGAGAGAGAGAGAGAGAGAGAGAGAGAGAGAGAGAGAGAGAGATCTTCTAAAACCCCTAGCTATCATTTCAGACCCATTTTTCAAAAGGGAAAACTCAGTGAAGGAAAGATGGAAACCTTCCCCCCTGACTATTTACTCCTTTACTGATAACCCCTGAGCTCTCAAACTCTCCCCAAATTCCACAATTTTCACTGAATCATAACCTTTTTGCTCAGACCTTTCACAGTCTCCAGTCCTTTGTCACATAACTCACTAAAGACACTTGATTTGTCTCGTATATTCTTTTTCTCTCCTAAAAGATTCTTTGTCTCTAACTAAATAATAGATGTTAGCTATTCTCTTTTAGACTTCATCAAAGCCTCACTCAGAATAAGCACAGAGACTGACTCTGGTAATATGACCTCAGTGGAGCATGCTGAAAATAGACTATAGAGTGAATACGATGGCCACTCAATATCTCTATTGCAAACCACAACACCCAAAAGGAGAGAGAAAGCAAAAAGGAATTCCCTGCCACAGAGGTGGGGTGGGGGTGGTGGGAGGGATACTGGGATCATTGGTTGTGAAGAATGGGCACTGGTGGAGGGATGGGTACTCAAGCATTGTATAACTGAAACATAAGCACGAAAGTTTGTAAGTCTGTAACTGTACCTCACGGTGATTCATTTTAAAAAATTTAATTAAAAAAAAGAAATGAAAATATATATAAACATATATATATGACCTCAGTGGAAGCTCTTTGTCGCTCTTTTTCTTTCCCCCAATATAGTTTGACTATGGAAACTATTATTTTCTGCTACCTCATGGAACGTAGGCAAAGCTATGTTCCTCTTCTGTATATCTATATTTGCTCTCAGTAAAGGCTAATGGGGTTTGAATAGATGTTGGTTTGGGAATATCCTATCTAATGTTTCTTGGATGCTTCCACTTTAAGGAAGAGCTCTGCTCCAACCCTAGAAATGAAATCCATGTATCAATGTCCCAGATTTGGGCATTTCCCCACCTTGCCACATCACCTACTGATACGTCTGTGCCAGAAGTTTCCCAGTGCAGGAAGAAGCAGCACAATCCCACTGGTGATTATGATGAGTAGAAAAACACAAAGTTTCATGATAATCTCTGTGTGTTTGACTTAAGTTTTCCAGAAGACAAGTCTTTTCCCAATGCTGCTAGAGGTAGAAACAGAATTAAGAATAGGGTAAAAGGTAAAGGTAAAGGGCCTCCCGTTGATTGTCGATTTGCTCGAGCGGGCCCAGTAACGTCTCCATTGGAGACTTTGTTGTTACTGTGTCTGGCATATCGAATACTCTCGGTAGTTTGCCGGGCTCTCCGAGAGAGGCGGAGGAATCGAACTCGGGTCGGCCTTGTTGGCTGCGTGCAAGGCAGACGCCCTACCCGCTGTGCTAAGGAGAAATTTTATGTCAATACTATGTCATTCCTTCTCCTTGTTTTCCTTTTTTGCCCTTCAACACCTGCCAACATATGATACTAACCACTGGTTTCTTGAGTTATTTCACAGTACATGGTCATCCCCTGGAGCAATAGCACAGTGGGTAGAACGTTTGCCTTGCACGTGGCCGACCCGGGTTCGATTCCTCCGCCACCCTCGGACAGCCCAGCAAGCTATCGAGAGTATTGAGCCCACACGGCAAAGCCTGGCAAACTACTTGTGACGTATTCAATATGCCAAACACAGTAACAAGTGTCACAATGGAGACATTACTGGGCCCACTCGAGCAAATCGATGAACAATGGGAGGACAGTGACAGTTATTTCTCTTAAAAATGTATTGTTTTTTTTTCTTATAAATGGCAATAAATCTTTAGATTGTTGAATTTGTAAAACAAAACCAAATACCAAGAATGGATGTTTAAGTCATGAATCATACAACCCAGCCATGAGCATTAAATGTGTAGAGTTTTGAGTCCAGAAATCCATAAGGTGCTCACATGTTTGCTCAGAAAAGCCAGTTAGTAGTAACAGAAACTCAGAGTGTTCTTCTCATCCTCTGATACAACAGAACACAGCAAAATAGGTGTGCCATGCAGATGCTCTCATTTATACAGGGATAAGAAATTTGAAATAACTGATATTTTGGGTGGAATTAGTAACTGGGTTAAAGTTGGAAAAGATTGGGATGGGCCTAAGTGGGTGAAAACAGGAACAGATCGGGACGGGACTCTACCTACCTTTCACCCAAAGAAAGAAGAAACCTGGGACCAGAACTATAGTACAGTAGGTATGGCATTTGCCTTGCATTTGACCAACCCAGATTTAATCTTCGGCATCCCATATGGTGCCCCCAGCACTGCAAAGAGTAATTCCTGAGTGCAGAGCCAGGAGTAACCCCTGAGTATCGCTGGGTGTGACCCAAAAGGGAAAAAGAAAAAAAAGAAGTCTGTGACACAATGACAAAACACACACACACACACACACACACACACAAATCCAAATTAGTGCATTTATGAAGCTGTTTATTTAAAATTTTTTAAAAATATTATTATTGGTCCAGGCTTTCCAGAACTTTTAGAACTGTTCATTCAAGGCCATGAAGCTAGTCCAGCTTTCTGAGTTTCTTATTTACCCTTAAAGGGTGTTCAAGATCCGGAGGATACCAGTCCCACCTGGTTTGCATGCCTTGGATATACTGAATAGTCCCAGAGAAGAGTCCCATCATCATGATTATATAAGTAGTCATATAGTCACATACCAAGCACTGGTGATATCTTGGCATGTGGGATATCATAAAAGGTCCCAAGGCATCACAAAGACGCAGAAGTACTGATTTCCCAAAATGTACAGATCTGAGCTTTTTCAGGTAATGTTAAAAGAAAAAAGCAGTGAGGAAAATGTCCATCCTTAAAACAATATAGGCATTCCTCAAAACCACTAGAAATTGAGCTTCCATATGACTCAGGAATGCCACTTCTGGAATATACCCTGAGAGGCCCAAAACACACAGCAGAAACACCATCTGCACGCCTATGTTCATTGCAGCACTATTCACAATGGTCAGAATCTGGAAACAACCTGAGTGCCTAAGAACAGATGACTGGATAAAGAAACTATGTGATATCTACAGAGTGGAATACCACACAGCCACCAGGAAAAAATGAAGTCAAGAAATTTGTTTATGAATGGACACACATGGTGAGTATCATGCTGAGTGAAAATGAGTCAGAAGGAGAGGGACAGGTGAAGTATGACCATACTCTTTTGTGGGTATGAGACGAATATCCAAAACCAGGAAAAACAGGGGCCAGGAGGACCAGTCAATGGTTGGAAGCTTGACACAAATGTAGGAAGGAGGGGACGATAAAGGAAAGTTAGGATAGAGAAGAAATCAATATGACAATGATAGCTGGAAATGATTCTCTGGACAAGGAGTGAGTGCTGAAAGCAGGTAAAGAGATATACACACGATAACCTGGTCAGTATCTGTATTGAAAACCATAATGCCCAGAAGGAAAGAGAGAGAGAGAGAGGGAGAGAGAGAGAGAGAGAGAGAGAAAGTGCCTGCGTAGAGGCGGTTGGGATAGAGGAGGGGAACAGGTGGTGGGAAGGGTGGTAGAAGGGAAACTGGGGACATTGGTCATGGAAAAATACACTGGTGAAGGGATAGTTATTAAAACATTGTATGACTGAAACCCAGTCATGAAAAACCTTGAAACTGTGTATCTTATGGTGATTCAATTAAAAGAAAGAAAAGAAAAGAAAATAAGATTCAAAAGAATGTCCATCCTTATTTTATCTCTGCCCCTTTAGAACCTCAGACAGCTCATGTCAACTCTTTCTCTATTTTCTTATTTGAATGGCAGAAAAGAATAATCCCCACCTTATAATAATAGTGTTAATACTACCTAGGCAGAAAACTCTTCCAAGAAAACCATAGGAAAAGTTAGTTCCTCCAAACCTTTATCACCACCTACCTCAAAAAAGTTCCTGGGTTGAACTTCTGCGTAAGTAGACAACAGCTCCTTTAGCGGACCCTCTCCTTATCTGAGGAGGAAATGGAGACTTAGTGGCCTGGAACAGAAACATAACAACATAAAAACAAAGATCAAAGACCTAGAAGTTAATGGAGATTTGGAGCAGCAGATCTCTAAATCTGTCCCGGAACTAACTGTTCGCCATGTCAAAAACGAGATCTCCAGTGAACTCACTCATCCAGAAGAAAGAACTTTCTCTAACACAAGCAGGATCTCGGGTTGTTTCCTGGAAAGTTTGGTAATACATTGTTTTCCAGGATCACATCACCAACGGACCAAGTCAGCCATCCCGAGAGTCATTATCTGAAGCATCTGAGTTCATCTGTAGGTAATTGTGGAGGACAGAGTCTATGTGCTTATCTGCCTTTGAGTTATTGTGTGTGTTCTGTAAAGTTCCACTCTATTCTGTACTGGGTATCCTTTGCAATAGCATCTTTCACCAAATGCCCCATGTTTTTTGTACAATTTTTTTCGTAAGTGGAAGAAGCTTTGGAAAAAAAGTGATGATCACCTCAAAAGGTAAAGATGTAAAGTGAAAAAGGATGGTCTATACCAGAGAGGTAATTATTACGTCAAGGAAGACTATGGTAGCCTACAGCCTTCAATGAGTCATGTTTGTCTGCAGTCAGATAGGAGACTGAGGAAGATAAAGACATTTTCTTTCTCTGTTTTTCGTAGGCCACAGATAAGTGAGATCATCTGGCATTTGTCCTTCTTCCTCTGACTTATTTCACTTACTTTGACACCCTCTAATTCACTTTTTTCTTACCTATGAGTAATATTGTGTATATATAATACATCTTTGTCCATTCATTTGCTGTTGAACATTTGGATTATTTTCAGATCTCATCTCTTGTGAACAGTGTTGCAGTGAATATAGGTATGTGTGTATATATATATATATATATATATATATATGTATACATATATATGGGGGTTTTTTTCAAATTAATTTTTGTACTCTTGAGATAAATGTCAAGAGTAGAATTGCTGGATCATTATGTTTGTTCTATTTGTAATTTACTGAGAATTTTCCATAGCATTTTCCATCAAAGCTGAACCACACCACAGTTCACCAACAGTAAAAAGTATTCCCTTTTCCCACATCTTCTCCAGCACTGATTGTTTTGGGGCTTTTTTTTTTGTCACATAGGCTTTTCTCATTGTCCTTTGGATTTGTGTTTCCCTGAGAGTCAATAATAATGAATATTTCCACATGCCTTTGACTGGACTCTGCTTTTGGAGGTAAAGGAAATTATCCAAAACCATTACACCTACTTACATGCAGCTTCACTCCATCACTGCCCTGCTTCTACTCTAAAGTCATCCACTCCATTGTATGACTGAAACCCAATTCTGATAAGCTTTGTACTGCTCTTTCTCACAGTGACTCACTTGAAAAATTAATTAATTAATTAATTAAAGTTATCCATTATTAGAAATTATGTTATTTTTTATAAATATTTGTGTTGGGATTGGAATGATAGCATAGTGGGGAGGGCGTTTGCCTTGCATGCAGTCAACCTGGGTTCGATTTCAACATCCCATATGGTGCCCCGAGCACCGCCAGGAGTAATTCCTGAGTGCAGAGCCAGGAGTAACCCCTGTGCATCACCAGGTGTGACCCAAAAAGAAAAAAAAATTGTGTTAACTGGTTATGTGGTGATTGACCACAATAAAGCCAATTTGTTTTGGCATGTCAACTTCTATCCAACAGAAGAAAATTAGTGAAAATTGTTGTATCTCACCATGAGGACATTAGGTCCTTGTCTGAAGGATTTCTAAAATGTTATAAATTAAACCTTCTGTGTTCATGTTTTTGTTAGTCAAGATTGGTTGACTTCTGGGGCAGAGAGAGAGCATAGCGGGTAGGGTGTTTGCCTTGCACGTGGCCAACCCGGGTTCAATTCCCAGCATCCCATATGGTCACCCGAGCACTGCCAAGAGTAATTCCTGAGTGCATGAGCCAGGAGTAATCCCTGTGCATCGAGGGTTGTGACCCCAAAAGCAAAAAATAATCAAAATAAGAGCACAGTTTCCAGTCAAGGTGAGGGTGGGGCAACACGGCAAGTGCCATAGCTGGAGGAGGGACAGCGGTGCTCAGTGCTCTGAACAGCTGATG